TCGAAACAAGAATTTAAAATAATGATAGAAGAGTAAATAAACTTGTACAAATTGCAGAAGATGAAAGACGGCTGCGTGGTGGTCGTTCTTTCTCAACCCTACATCTCGCTTATATAAATAATCCTAACCTAATCTTAGTCTAGGTTTGGTCCCAATTGGTCCACAAAACACATCATAAGTTGGTTTTAATGCAGGTCCGTGAACTTCAAACACGTGTAGTATTTTCAATACTTATCCAAATTAAGCGATTCCGATCTCCTTTGAAAGCCTTTTGAGTTAGCTTTAAAACGTCACCGTTTCTACTATTTTTGGAGGTATAATGAATTTAGGAGTCTTAAATTACTGAAGTATGTCCATTGGGTTGACCTGGTGCGCTTGACCCGTTTTGGATAATTTATGTAAAATCCAATTTAGCTCCAAATTAAATGATTATAGATCCTCTGGAAAGATGAATGTGTCTAGTTTATAATGCTTCCAGAATCATGATTTTTGGATCTCTGTAGAAAAAATGATAAATAAAACAGTGAACCATTGTTAGTACCTGTATAGAATAAAATATGACATTTGGTCCAATTTTTCAAGTCCAAAATTGCTTTAAATTGTAATATGGCATTTGACCCAATCTTCTAGGCCCAAAATTGCTTTAAACTGTGTCTTGAAAATAATAATGAGAAAAAATTAGATAAAGTAAATTTAAATTAATTAAAATCTGAATTATTGGCCCAATGAAACCCAATTAATAAAAATTCACTAATAACAGAAAGCTAAGCCCAAAACATTAATTAAAAGACATTCAGAAAGGGAAAAAAATATGAGAATATAATGACTCATCGGTGATCTTCCAAAGGATTGAAAAGGTATTGGCTGAGTGTGTTAACAACGAAACATAAATCTGGCCTTGTGTTGGTTAGATAGAGCAACCTTCGAAGTAGTGTTCTATACGCATGCACATCTGAATAAGGTTTTCCTTTTGTCTTGGAAAATTTTGTGCCTGGCTGTATGGGAGTAGAAACAGGTTGACATCGCAACAATCTTGCATCTTCTAGTAACTCTAGGGCATACTTCCTCCGTGACAAAGTAATGCCTTGTTGAGATCTTGCAATTTCTACGCCAAGAAAATAATTGAGTTGACCTAGGTCTTTAATCTTGAACTTTGCATTCAATAGAGCCTTCACAGTTTGAATTTCCTGGATGTTATCACCTGCCAATACTATATCATCGACATAAACAAGTAAGATGGTGATATGAGCAGAATGACTTTTGACAAAAAGTGAATAATCTGATTTTGATTGTGTATAGCCCAAAGAAAGTAAAGTAGTTTTCAACTTGTAATTCTATTGTCTAGAGGCCTGTTTGAGTTCATATAAAGATTTCAATAATTTGCAAACTTGTCCTGGCTTTTTTGTCTTGTAGCCAAGAGGAAGAGACATGTACACTTCTTCATCTAGATCCCCATGTAAAAAGGCATTATTTACATCTAGTTGATGTAAATACCAATGCTTTGAAGCTGCTAAGGCCAGAACCAACCTTATTGTTGTGAGTTTGACAACAAGTGAAAAAGTTTCAAAGTAATCTAAGCCTTGTTGTTGTGTGTAGCCTTTGGCTACTAACCTTGCTTTGTATCTTTCAATGCTTCCATCAACTTGCCTCTTTATTTTGTATACCCATTTACACCCTATAGGTTGCTTTCCATATGGTAGATCACTCAAAACCCATGTTTTGGTACTTTCTAAAGCTGCAATTTCTTGATCCATGACATTTCTCCAACAATCATGTTTGATGACTTGGTTATAGGTTTTAGGTTCATTGACTTGGGAAAGATTTAGGACAAATGATTTATGAAGAGATGATAATGCATCATAAGAGAAATATGAAGAGATAGGGTACAAGGTACCTGTAGATGACTGGGTGGCTGAAGAAGTAGATAACATGTTGCAATGATAGTCTTGCAGGTAAGATGGTTTATGTTTTGGCCTGGTTGATTTTCTTTGTGGAGTAGCAGTGATAGGTTCAACAGAAACAGGTTGAGAAGAAAAAATAACAGGGTCTGGAACAACAGAAAGAGAAGATATAAGTGATAAAGAGGGTTGATTAGTATCTTCTGAGAAAAGAGGTGATGGAGATGAAGTAATTTTTGTGACAAAATCCAAGGAATTTTGTTTATCAGTAGGGGAGTGCTTGTCACTAGTAAGAAAAGGAAATATCTTTTCATAAAATACTACATTCCGTGATAGAAAAATTTCCCTAGAGTTGAGATCCAACAAAAGGTAGCCTTTCACTTCTTTTTTAAAACCAAGTAAGACACATTTTCTTGCTCGATGTTGAAATTTTGTTCTATGAGCTTGAAGAGTTGAAGCATAGCAAAGGGAGCCAAAAACTCTTAAGTAAGTAATGTAAGGTTTAACATTGTGTAACAGTTGAGATGGAGAAAAATATGCTAAAACTTTGGAAGGTAAAATATTAATGAGATGCACAACATAACGAACAACAAAAGACCAGAAAATTATGGGAAATGGGATTGAAATATTAAAGATCTAGCAACATTGAGAATGTGTTGATGTTTTCTCTCAACAACCCCATTTTGTTGAGGTGTTTCAACACAAGATAATTGATGTTGTATCCCTTTTTGTCTATAAAATTTTGTCATTGCAAACTCATTACCATTATTTGATCTAACAACTTTTACATCAATGCCAAATTGTGTTTTTATATAAGAAACAAAGCCAATAAGTTGTGATCTTGTATCTGATTTACTTGCCATCAATCTAATCCATGTGTATCTAGACATATCATCCACTATGGTTAAAAAATATTTGAAACCATCAACAGAAGAAGTACCATAGGGACCCCAAATATCAACATGAATTAAATCAAAAAGAGTTTTTGAAACAGTAGTACTTAATGGAAAAGGCAAATTTCTTTGCTTAGAATAATGACAAGTATCACAATGAGTGTATTTTATATCAGGAATAATATCATACATGTTTCGTAATTTGATGTAACAAGAAGAAGAAGGATGACCTAGTCTATGGTGCCAAATATCAATAAAGTTAGGCCTTATTTTAGAACAAGCAACAAAATTCACAGCTAGTGAACCAAGGAGTGTAGGTGCAGGAACTATCATGATATACAAGCCATCCCTTTCTTCAACTTTCCCAATCATCTACAGGGTTGACTTGTCATGTATCACACATGAAAATTCAGAAATGTCAAGCTTACAAGATAGAGATTTAGTTAACTTTGTGACCGAAATAAGATTTACTGAAAAATTAGGAACAAACAGGACATTATGTAGAATAAGTTGCGGGCTAAGTGAAACTGTGCCATAAAAATGAACAAATGAGGAATTCTTGTTGGGTAGTGATACTGTAATTGGTGTGATTTTATGATAAGAAGTAAAATGAGACAAAGAATTGAATGTGATTAGTAGCACATGTGTCTAGAATCCATTGAGAATGGATATTACCTTGAGTCTGAGAAGAAGTGGAAACATTATGAGAGCTCACTAGATTGGTAGAATGTGTATTGTGAGATTAGATTGAGGAAGAAGTGCCAATAGACCATGAATTTGCTCTTGAGAAAGTCTCAGAGTTGAGGAATTTGACTGTGTCTGAGAATTACCAGGAGAATGAACTGCTGCAGAAGAATCTATGGTAACATTGTGGACTCTTTTGGATTTGAAACCAGTAGAAAATCCAGGTGGTAATCCATGTAGTAGAAAACAAGTATCAATGGTGTGGTTTGTCTTACCACAGTGAGTGCATTGTCGAGAAGCACCAAACCTTCCTCCTGAGGAGCGAGTTTGAGACCCTTGATAATCACCAGCAGGTGAGGGTTTACCTCTATCATTGGAGGTAGAAAAAAAAGGTTTAGACTGAGAAACTTGTGCTGCCATGACTGAAGGTTCAGGGAGAATTCTTGACTGTAATTGTCGCTCATGTTGAATTATCATAAAAAAAATCTTGGTTAAAGAAGGCAAGGGATCCATGAGAAGGATCTAAGAGCGAACAACAAAGTAATTATCATTCAAGCCTCTAACAAAACAAAGAACACAATCATTTTCACGATATTCCTTCATTGTCTTAGAAACAACACAACAAGAAGCAGGAGATTTGCACTCTGGAATTGGGCGAAAATTGCAAAGTTCATCCCAGAGAATCTTCATCTTAGTGTAATATGCAGTAACACTTAGGTCAGATTGATGTATCGAATAAAGATCTTGATGCAATTGTGAAATTCGGACAGAATCACCTTGGGAGAAACGATCTTTGAGATCCTTCCATGCCACAACTGCAGAGTCAATCCAGATAATACTTGTAGCAATCTCATGAGAAACAGAGTGATTGATCCATGATAAAACCAGATTATTGCAGCGCTTCCATGTTGGAACCATGGGATTTGTCGCAACTAGACAAGGAATGGAACCATCGGCAAAGCCAAATTTATTCTTCATTTGCAGTGATATAGACATCGAGCAAGCCCATCCATGATAATTGTGACCTTCAAGAATCGGAGAAACAAGCACCAATGATGGATTCTCGTTAGGGTGAATGTAATAGTCATGTGTTGTATCTTGCAACGATGCGAGAGTAACAGAGGAAGCAGCCATAGAAGGAGAAGAAATTGCAGAGAAGCAAAGAATGTAGAGAGAAAAACAGTTAGGGAAGCAGTAACAAAATCGGTTGCGGAAGAACGTGATGAGGAATTATTTTCCTTCTGATACCATGTTATAAGGAAAGAATGGATGAAAAGTGTAATTGTATTGAATGTTAGGCAAAGTACATCTTATATACAAGATAGCTTTACAGTTGTACAAAACAGATTGTAACAAACTAATTAGTAGAAACTAAACTGAATTTATATTCAATAGTTTTTGTTCCATTAGCGGGGTCCGAGGTATTTTGATCCACCAGATAGTAGTTGGGGAGCGTGTTTCAATTGTGGCGAGGAAGGTCATGCTGCTGTGAACTGTTCAGCGGTGAAGCGGAAGAAGCCATGCTATGTTTGTGGTGGTTTGGGACACAATGCAAAACAATGCACTAAAGTATGTCTTATTACTAATATTCCATCTTCTTATTGGTACATGAAGGTTATTGAGATTTGTGTTATGCTCCTGCAGGCACAAGATTGCTTTATCTGTAAGAAAGGTGGTCACCGTGCTAAAGACTGTCAGGAGAAGCACACAAATACTCCTAAAAGCATTTCAATTTGTTTAAAGTGTGGAAATTCTGGGCATGATATGTTTGGATGCAGGAATGATTATTCACTGAATGATCTCGAGGTTGTTCTTTTTCTTGTTCTTATCTTTTTCTGGAAAATTTGGGAAATGTTTTTGTTGAATTTGCTTATAAATAGTGATTTGCATGTATGTGAATTGTTAAGTCACTGACTGTTTGCCTGTTTAAGTAGGAAATTCAATGTTATGTCTGCAAGAGACTTGGTCATTTGTGCTGTGCCAATTCCGATGATGCAACACCAGGAGAAATTTCTTGTTACAAATGTGGTCGGTTGGGTCATTCAGGTTTGGTAAGTTTTATTTAATGACTTATTGGTATTGTATTGCCTTATGTAGCCCCCATTCATAGTCTAGACTACTCTTCCTATGTGACTCTCTTAATAGGGTGGAATTTGTTTGATTGTTTCTTTCTTTTTGATTGTTTCATCTGTTTCTTATCAGACCCACTAGAATATTTTCTGGATTATTTTTTTTAGTAGAAATAAATGTGCATAAAAGTTTAAAAGGAAGTTAAAATGGCCTGAAAATATTTCAATCATTATTTCTGGATTTTCTTGTTAACATGTATGCAATGAAGATCAGATCACCAAAAGACACTACATGAAATATAGCCTTTCTGAACTTCCTTATTCCCTGCAAAATCTGCAGTTTTGCTTGCGTTCTTTAAATAGCAATTCTCATGCCTCAAGTATCGAAAGAGGACCCAAGTCTAAAGCTAAAGAACTAGGTATATGATTTTTGAAGATTAGAAAAAGCAGCCACAAGACTTTCAATTAGAGATATTACTAAAATAAAAAGATGGAACATCACACACTCATACCTAGCCTATGCATGTGCACTTTGTAATCACCACAAAATATTCTATTCTGATATTTACTAAACTGTGGAGTCTACAAGAATAGGTCCAAAATAACACGCAGGCATTCAAGGTATTAATTTTCAGTTACTTCCAAGATTATAGGCAGGAAATTGGAACTTATTTTACCTTTAGTTTTGGGGGTACTAATGGTTACTGATGTTCGTCAACCTTCTCTAAAGATCTATGGTGGAATAGCTTTATCAAACAATGGTTAAATCTACCTAAATGCCATTTTGAAGAGCATTTAGGTGATTATTGTCAGTAGCTCATGCATTTTTCTGCTGTCTTATTAAAACTGTCATTTTTTATTTTTGAACATTAAAGATTTTCTTGTCTTGGAACTGAAGATTAGAGTTAGCATATATAAATTTTGGTGTTAACTGACGCAGGCATGTTCAAGGTTGCGGGATGATATTGCAAACGGAGCCATGCCTAGTTCATGCTACAAATGTGGTGGAGAAGGGCATTTTGCTCGGGAGTGCACAAGTTCTGTTAAGGTACATTTCAGTATACTTTTTGACCGACTATTGTTACTTTAAATTATTACAACTGTTTACCTAAATTATTACAACTGTTTACCTTTTCTTTTTATTGTTGGTCTGAGTTTCTTCTGGCTTAGAGTAAGTTTTTTGGCTGCTGTGCTTTCCTAGAGGAATCGTACCTCATCACGCACGAAAGATAAAAGATCCCATAGACATGGGAAATAAATCAGCACCTAATGATATGGGTGTAGCTCGTAGAAAGAAACGGTCTCTTAAAGAAGATAGAGGAGGCTTTTCTACTCCCAAGAAAACAAAGAGTCGAGGTGACTGGATGGAGGATCATCTTACTGAAGAAAGGGACCTTTCAATTCCAAAGATATCCAAGAATAGTGGTGGCTGGACAACGGAGCATCCTTTGGAACCAAAAGGCTGTACAACTCACAAGAAATCCAAGAGGAGTAGAGGTGGTTGGAAGACAGAGCATCATGAAGAATTCTTTCTTCCCATGGCCACAAGGAACAGCAGTTATAGGATTTCAGGGACACCATCTTCCAGAAGCACTAGAATTCATTCATTTGGTAGTGGAAGTCATACTCCAAGTTATAAATCTTCCCAGGTATGGAATGGTCATGATGAAACCCCTATGTCCGTACGTTCAGCCTGGTCAAATCGTCATAGATTTTCAGCATCAAGATTTGACAACTCTAGTAGTGTGGGGAATGGTTGGAAGTGGTAGTGATCGTGCATGCTGGTTATGTTCTCTACTATTCCTTTTGTGAACTTGTAAAACAACATCCACAAGTTTTCTAACGTATATTTAATTTCGTTTTAGTTAGCTATTCAATGATACTATCATAAGTGGTTAAAATTTATGGATGTGGGGAACAATATACTACGATTGAAACATACCTTTTGACTCTTTAAGACCAAGCATTAGCAATAAACTTTTATTTACACAAGCTAATTCCAGCAACGTTCTATTCTTTGTTCCCGTGTCGTGTATTTAACCTTCGCTGGCAATTTCAGGCGTGTGATAGGCTGCTTGCAATTGATTTGGAAGTCATACTAAATAAGCCTTTATCAATGAATTAACATTCGTTGGTAAGTATTAGCGTCAAGAATTTGTAAAAGAACCAGTAATACAAAGAACGGATAGTGCACGAATTACATATATAACAAATTCCATTCCAAGGAGAACAAATAGATACCACCGAACTTGTCTTTGGTGCTAGTTATGATGACTATTAATGATAAGTTAGCCTGTTCACCTGAACTATTTTGGCCCTTTCTTCCTGTTTTCTATAATTTCTTCTTAGATCTTGTAATTAAATTAAATATTATTTTATTTTTATCTTATTTTCTTTGGAATATATTTTAGATTTGTCTCTTCGAAAATATATTCTTGAACACCCAACTCGGAGTATGTTTTTGGAAAGACTAATTCAAAAATAGATTTTGAATTAGGTGTTTCTGAACGTGTTTTCTAAAAGGTCAATTCAAAAATATATTCTAAATTGAAAGTTTCGAAATTTAATTTCATTTTCATGACATTGTTGTGTAATTTGAGTGCATAAACATCTAAGTTAATATTATTATACATAATATTAACAATTACTTATATTTAATTGTTAAAAAATATCTTCATTAGAGGTGATAATACAAAAAAAATCAAATAGTCAAAAGACCTAGGTATAAAAGTTGTACATAGATAGAAGAAGACGAAGAAGTTAAGATAAAAAATAAAATTAAAAAAAATGTATTTTAGATATTTCACTTAGGATATTGAGATGTACGAAGAAATTATAAAATTAAAAAAAAACAAGAATCAATTATTTGTAGAAATCATATTTATGGAATAAAATAATTGTACTGTTTATTAATTTTCTTAAACATGTTACATACGATTATCATCCTCTTCCTAGCTCGATAAAATTTTTTTCTTTGCCTATGTAGCTATTAATCCTTTGCAATATTTTAGTAACATGATTGTTAAATGATTTGTTGATTTGCTCTTCTTAATGTGCCTATATTTGATCATTTTGTAAAATTTTCCATTCAAATATGTCTTGCTAAATAACATTTGTATTAGGAGATTGCATGTTGTTTTCCTCGGAAATTACAACAATTAAATTTTGGTTATTATGTTCTAAGAAGGATAATATTAAATAATGCTTACACTTATTTATATATATATATATATATATATATATATATATATATATATTATAAAAAATATCACTCCAAAAATATTTACAAACTTTATTTTTCTTTTTTTATCACTTTTTATTATTTTTTTTATTTAAGTTTTATTTTCAAAATAAATATCTAGATATCATTAATAATTCACATCTATGTAGATAATTTTTTAATATTTAAACTACAATATGACCATGTATGTACCCAATCATAATTACTCATGATTTGTTGAGAACAATATATAAAATTTTGATTGAGAAATAGGACGTGATATCAAAAACTTTTTTTCTTCGTTCCTCGTTTTATCCACAACGCAACAGACTCAGCTGCGTCGAAAAGAACCCAAGATCCTCTCACTCACTCTATTTTCACTCTTTGCTAATCCCTTTTCCAATTCAGACATCATTCATCACTCCCTTTCTGTAAGTTCCTTCTCTATAATCATTATATGTAAGATACCCATTTTAGTTCTCGTATATGGAATTTTTTATGCTTTTTTAGGTTTATAAATTTGTACCAGTGTCTTTGTGAGGTGAAATGCTGCTGTTGCACTCCAGCTATAATACGCTACTATTGTTTCTTGCCTTGGTTAGTTAGGCTAACGGGGATTATTTCGATGGGAAATGAATATTAATTATTATAAGAAAATAGAAGGTTTTCATTTTGCTAATTGTTTTTCTTTTTGGGGTGGTAAATTAATTCAGTTTGAGAAATGCTAGTAGCAGTTTTGCATTCATATTCTTCTACTATTGCAATCTGAAATTTTGTGAAAGTGCAAAAGTTGGGTTCAGTCTCTATCATTAAGAATATGCAGAGCGTGGAATTTTGCCTAATAATAGGGTTGAAAAGAAAGTGACAAGGATTGGGGGCTTCTCATTCAGTTTTATGCCCTAGGAAAAGTTAATAAAAGCTTAAAACATGATAAGGGTTAGTTTGGTTTATGAAAATACATTTTGTTTTCATTTAATGGTTTTTACACATAGTTACAACGGTTTTACGTTGTTTCCACTTTGATTCTTGTTTTCAAAGATTTGCATAAGAATGGTGTAAAAATTCGGTATTTTTGTAGTTATTTGACATGTTTGCAAAACAAATAGACCTTGAAATTGTTGTTGGCTCATAACTAAGTTGCATTTCAAATGAAAATGAACAGATTGTAGAATATTTTTTTGTTGCTTGTTTTCTTATTCAGCATGATTTTCAAATGTTTATTTTCTCTGTTAAAGATATTATCAGCAGATTACATAAATTAATTTAGTAATATATAGTGAGAAACTGCAGAGTAGATGGGACGGGAAGAGGTAGAAAAAAGGATTATCCCCCTCCACTTTACATGTTTTGCTTGATCTAATCAAGGTTATCGAATTGTAATTTTGTACAATGGAAAATTATTTCAAATATATCATAGATGGTGTTCAGTAAACAATTAAAACTAGAAACAGATAAAAACAACTTAAGTAGAAGTCATACAAAACAAAACTATCAGTTATATCTAAGTTTGTAAAGTCTTTATTTTAGAATAATGGAAATAAAGCAATTAAATAGCTAAATAGAGGTACATGCATTGAATGAGTGATAACTAGGATGAGCTCAGAAGTGTTCTTATAAATTCCTTTTCATTTAAAAATTTAAGCTTGCAGACTTTTTATTCATTTTTTCATGAGAATTGGTGAAAAAATAAAACCATATGAATTGTTGAATTGTATTGGTTATACAAATTTCATAGATTGATTCATGTATCGTAAGATACAAAGTCATTTAAGATTCATCTTGAGATATGAATTAGTAGATAGGCATAATGTATTCAATAGAAAGATTCAAAATCGTCAGTTGTAAGATTGTCAAACTATGTTCCTAAATACCAAGCTTGGTAGGGTAGCATGATGTTTTAATAACGTAGATGGTAGACTAGTTCATATCTACAGTTCTGCTCTTATAATCTCTATTTCTGACTCCATATTAAAAAGTAGTCTACTTAAGGATTATTTTAAGATTTTAGTGTTTAATTTAATTCAATATGATATTCTAGGTATTCATTTATGTGCAAGTTTTTTTTGGTTGGTGATTAATAAAAGACGTATTGACCTGATAGGCTAGTGTTGGTTCATGATTTGAGTAGATTGTTTGTGTAATTTTATGGTTTTGTCTTAATTGTGAAGAATTATATTAAATTTCTGCATCATCATAAACTCAATTGATTATGGTTATTCCTAATAGTAAAATAAAAATCTATTGATGATGGGAAGGAAGAATCTTGGCTTTTGTTATGGTTGTATAGTGTATAACCTTGAGAATGTGTTTTAGTGTTGAGCATTTTATTACTGTTACAAATCCATGGATCAATGGGATGAAGATCATACTCATAAGAAAGATAGAGCATATTGATACTTACGAGGTAATATATTAAATTTATTGAAAAACATAATGATGTGAACTAAAAGTTCTCCTACTAAAAGATCTTATTGGACTCATAGTCATATGTTACTAACCCATAACTAACTTACTAATCATATACAATAATTATTATAATCACGTACTTTGCCTTTAGACATTCAATATTCATTTGGCAACAATTGGACCTAGAAGCAATGATTGATAATGGTCTAAGATGAAAAGGTTTCTTAAGAGAAGAATTTAGAACATTTTAATTTGTATGACCAATTCTTTTTGACTTAGTCCTTTTGCATTTCATATTTAGAATCTTTTATGTAAGATGGTAATCTTTATTATACTTTCATTGTTGTTGCCTTTGCTATTTGTGATTGGTGTTTAATTAAAAACCATAATTTTGTTTTGATCTTGATGTTTCTAATTAAGCTTATCACCGTTATTACATAAGTAGTAATGATTGAAGCATACTTTGTAGCAACATTTGGCCATGACATTAGTTAAGCAAGAAAATTTATAAAATGCTCTCAACCACTGCTGCTGCTCAGCTTCCAAGTTGTTGCTGGTACCGCATTCCCAGCCATCTTAACGGCGATCATCATGTCCAACAAAAGAGAAAACTCACCACTCTATCACATGCCAATGCAGATAGCCAAATTTCCCTCAGAAACTTATATGGTCTAAGTCTTTCTCAGACCCACAATTGCAGCAAAGGGAAAGAAAGCAATAAGCAATCTAGATACAATTCCAATTTAAATCAGAACCACAAACAATTATTATTTCTACAGTTCTTCCCGGACAGTGACACAGAAGACACCAATAATCAAAATCCAAGAACTAGAAACCAGTATCAACATCAAGTAGACAAACAAGCAGAATTCAAGGAAAATAACAAGAACAGGCTTTTCACAAACATGTGGTGGGTAGATGTCAAAGCAGGACTTGGCCAAAGAATCAATATGGAGGGCATTCTATGTTCAACTATGGTGATCTTAAAAGACCCAAAATTGGCAATGCCCCATATTTCCGTTCCTGATATAAGGTATGTTGATTGGACTGAGCTGCGCAAAAAGGGATTTAAGGGAGTTGTCTTTGACAAGGATAATACTATTACAGCACCTTACTCTTTGAAGCCTTGGCCACCACTGGAGTCTTCATTGGAGTGTTGTAAATTGGAGTTTGGTCATGATATTGCTGTCTTTAGTAACTCTGCTGGTAATTCTAGCTTGAAGCAATTTGGAATTGTTCTGAATTTTATGGTAGTTGTTCACTAAGTCACCCAAAGTGTTTTGTGTTGTTTTATTGGTGTTGTGAATTAGGACTTCATGAATATGACCATGATGGTTCAAAAGCTAGGAAGCTTGAAGGTGCAATTGGAATTAAAGTCATCAGACATAGTGAGTTTGTCCTTTTATGTTGGAGCATTTTCTGCAATATTATTTTATCCTCAAACTTGAAAGTACGTGTTATCTCTGCTCTGTTTAAAATGCTGGGACTGGGAATCATTCCATTGGGATAAATGACTTTAGTAGTGATGTTGAATATGTGTATGAATGCTTTAGGGGTGAAGAAGCCAGCTGGTACAGCTGAAGAAATTGAAAAGCATTTTGGTTGTGAAGCTTCACGATTAATTATGGTAGATAAGAATTTTGTAGTGTTCACCTTCTATCAGATACTTGTTTTGTAGTTTAATTTAGGTTCATGTTAAAGTTAAGGCATAATATTTATGGCAGGTGGGTGATCGGCCATTCACTGACATTGTTTATGGCAATCGGAATGGATTTCTAACTATTTTGACAGAGCCATTGAGTCCTGCGGAGGAGCCATTAATTGTTAAGCAGGTACGTTTTTCATTTTACATTTTGGGTGCTAGAATTGTTTATTGTGATTAACTTATTTTAAATAAGAGGAAAATTTTCATTTATAGAAGAAATGAGAAGTTCTGTTTGACGGATCCTATAACAAAACAGAAACATAGCAGAGATAAAATCTTCAAGCCTAAAAGTTCCCATACCTCATTTGGAAATTTATTGTATCGTGGATTTACAGTTCCTTTCTCCTATTTGTTAAGTAACAATCTGAATTTCAGAGGTTTATTTATAATTCCTTGCTAAAGCTTGCCTTTCCATATACCATATTCTGTATTGATGTTGAAAGTCTTGATAGATCTTTTATGTAACTTGTAAAGAGTTTGATGGAAATAAGCTCTAAAAGTAAAAGACTTACCCAGTGTTTCTGTGGGAAATCAAATAGTATTTGAGGAAAGAATAAATTAGAAAATTTGTAATTTGTACAAATTTGAATAATTAGGAACAATCCCATAAATAAGGGATCCTAGAATAAAATAGAGTTATTATATTTCCTAAAATAGCTTAGGTCTCCTTTATATATATTGTATGATCTCTTTGTATTAAAATAATAAAATAAGATTTCATTCTGATCTAGGAATTTCTGTCTGCGCACTATAAACTCTAAGACGACAACCTGTGTTGCTGCAACATTTTTCTTAACCCTAAGACGACAGTCTGTATTGCTGCTGCATTTTTCTTAACTCTAAGACGGCAGCCTGCATTGCTCTTGCATCACACCTTCTTACTATAATGTCAAGGGAAGAGGAAGTTGTGAACCCAATCCCAGAAACAGGAAATACCCAATCCCAACAATTTGGAGAACTGTAGAATATTCATTCTGTATATAGACTAAATGGAAGAAATTATTTGAAGAGGGCCCAACTTGTTCGTAAAATGTTGAATAGAAAGGGGTATCCAAACAGAAGAAAGGAGGATCAACAAATGTGGAGAAGAAATGTGATGGTCTCGGGTGTACCTACTGCAATAAGCCTCGTCAAACTCGAGAGAAGTGCTGGAAGTTACATGCGAAGCCTTTAAATCGTGATCGAGAAGGAGGACACAGAGGAGGCTCCTTAAGGAAAGGAGGAAAAGTTTATGCTGCTGCTGAAACAAATGAAGAAAATAATCCAATAGTTGTTGCCCATCTTAACCAAGAGGAGATAGAAAGGGTGAGAACCTTTTTTCGTAAGCTGGAAAAACCTACAAGTGTGTGTTCTTTGGCATACTCAGGTAAGTTTCCACTTTGTTTTGGATTAAATGTCTCAGATACACCTTTTAATCATTATTGGATATTGGACTCTGGAGCCATAGACCACATGACACCATTAGCCAAACACTTCTCCACATATTCTCCATGTCTCAGCAACAAGAAAATTGCCACAGCAGATGGAACCCTTATAACTGTAGCTGGTCAAGGAAATATCCAAATCAATCTTTAATAACCTTAAAAGATGTTCTCCATGTCCCAAAGTTGTCCACCAACCTAGTGTCTATACAAAAACTTATAAAGGATTTGTCATGTAAAGTTTTTTTTCAACGATCATTGTGTATTTCAGGATAAAGATTCGGAGAGGATGATTGGACATGCTAGAGAATGGAATGACCTTTATTATCTCGAAGATCCAAGTATGTTAAGCAAGAATAGAATCTCTCACTCCTTCATATCTGAATCCTTGATGACCAATAGAGAAAAAATCATGCTTTATCATTATCGGTTGGGACATCCCTCTTTTGGAGTGATCAAAATTATGTTTCCCTCTTTGTTTACCAAGTTAGATGTTGAGAGTCTTCATTGTGAGGTGTGTGAATTTGTTAAGCACAAGCGTGTATCTTTTCTAATAAGTAATAGAATTAGCAATTTCCCTTTTTATCTTGTTCATACTGATGTATGTGGACCTTCTAATGTTCCAAATGTGTCTGGTGCTCGATGGTTTGTCACCTTTATAGATGACTGTACAAGGGTCACTTGAGTTTTCCTACTTAAACAAAAATCAGAACCGTCTTCCTAAACTTCCACTCTTTGATAAAAAATCAGTTTGGTATTAATATTAAGAGACTTAGGTTAGATAATGCCAAAGATTACTTCAATCATGTCCTTAATTCTTTTTATAAAAAAGAAAGTATAATTCACGAGTCCTCTTGTGCCAAAACACCACGGCAAAATGGGGTCGCAGAGAGGAAAAATGAACATCTATTAAATCAGACTCGGGCATTGTTGTTCCAAAAAAATGTCCCAAAAAATTTTTGGGGGGAAGCTATCCTTACAATAACATACCTTATCAATAGACTACCCTCTAGAGTCTTAGGATCAAAAAGCCCTATGGAAGCTTTGTCGTTTTTCTATCACTTGATATTCAAAAATAGAGAAAAAGTGTTTTTAGAGGGCTTGAAGAACCCCTCTCATAGTTCTCTATTTATATAGATAAAAACTGATACAATAGGGAGATTACATTAAATGTACAGTCCTAGATTACTCCTCAGAACTAGGTGCAGAGATTATCTAACACTCAACCCCCTGCAGAGATTATCTAACACTCAACCTCCTGGCCTTAGGTATAATGATTACATATATTTTCTAATCTATTCCAACACTCCCCCTCAAGCTGGAGCATACAAGTTGTATGTACCAAGCTTGAAACAAATGAACTCAATCCGAGGTCTCCTTAAGGACTTGGTAAACACATCTGCGAGTTGGTCATTTGATCCAACAAACTCGGTACATATTTCTTTTGTCAACAACTTTTCACGAATAAAGTGACAATCAATTTCTATATGTTTAGTTCTCTCGTGAAATACAGGATTTGATGCAATGTGGAGAGCAACTTGATTTTCACAATACATCTTCATAGTCTGGATATCACAGAAGTTAAGCTCTTAAATGAACTGCTTCACCCATATAAGTTCACAAGTTAGTGATGCCATTGCCCTATATTCGGCTTCAGCTGTCGATCGAGCCACTACATTCTGTTTCTTAATTTTCCATGAAATAATGTTTCTTCCAAGGAAGACGCAATATCCAGTGGTAGACCGTCTATAAACAGGTGAACCTGCTCAATCTGCATCACAGTACCTAGTGACCTGAATGCTTCCTTTATCTTCATATAACAATCCTTGTCCGGGAGCCTTTTTAAGGTACCTTAAAATGCGAATGATAGCATTTCAATGACCAGCACATGGAGCCTGCATGAACTGACTAACCACTCCAACAACAAAAGATAGATCAGGCCTTGTAATAGTGAGATAAATCAGTTTTCCGACCAGCCTCCTATATCTCTCTGAATCAGAGAATACTTCACCTTCTTCTATTGTTAATTTCTTATTTGGGTCCATAGGATTCTCTACAGGTTTACAGTCAATCATACCTATTTCTTGTAATATATCAAGAGCATATTTTCTCTGAGAGATTACAACTCCATCTTTTGATTGAGCTACTTCAATGTCAGTATTTTAGGCTTTCCAAATCCTTGGTTTGAAAATGTCTGCACAAGTACTCCTTCAGTTGAGATATTCCAACTGTATCATTTCCTGTAATGACTATATCATCAACATATACTATTAAGTAAACACATTTACCCAAAGATGTATGACAATAAAAGACTGAATGATCTGTTTCACTACGTCTTAGCCCAAATTTTTGAACAATGGAACTAAATTTTCCAAATCAAGCATGTGGTGATTGTTTGAGGCCATATAGAGAACAATGCAATTTGCATACTAGTTCAGACTCCTCCTGAGCAACAAACTCAAGAGGTTGCTCCATGTAAATTTCGTCCTCAAGATCACCATGTAGGAAGACATTTTTGATATCTAATTGATGAAGTGGCCAGTGACGAATGACAGTCATTGCGAAGAACAGACGAATAGTGGTCATCTTGGCCACAGGAGAGAAAGTGTCACAATAATCAAGGCCATAAACCTGAGTGTACCCTTTTGCAACTAACCGAGCCTTGAGCCGATCAATCGTACCATCGTGGCTGATTTTAACAAAGATATACCCAGTGGCAACCAACCGCCTTTTTGCCTGGTGGAAGGGGCACGAGCTCCCAAGTAGCATTATGGTCAAGAGCCTGCATTTCTGCAATCATGGTTTGTCGCCATCCAGGGTGAGCAAGTGCTTCTTCCACATTTCTTGGAATAACAATAGAAGATACTGAGGATAAAAGGGAACAATAGGAAGGTAACAACCTGTGATAGCTAAGAAAATTATAAATAGGATGTGGGTTTCGAGTGGAACGAGTACCTTTTCTCAGAGCAATGGGCCATCCTGAATCACCTCTACCAGGAGTTATGGTAGGAAGCGATGTTGAAGAAGAATCTAAAGTGGGGGATTCACCCTCATCTTGGAGAATAGGACTAGCCATCGGGGTCCTATGATTGACAACATCAATTTGAGGGGAGGATGGTTTAGGAAGACTTGGATCACTATGGAGATCGATAAAGACATTGGAAATATTAGACTCAATTACTGGAATGGGAAGAACCTGCTGTATGACATGAACATCTTGAACAAAAGGAGAAAAGTAAGGAGTCTGTTCAAAAAATGTAACATTGACAGACATGTAGTACTTCTTGGTTTCAGGAGAGTAACACCGATACCCTTTTTGAAGGCGGGAATAGTCCAAGAAGACACATTTGATAGCACGAGCAGAAAGCTTGTCTAACCCAAGAGACATATCATGAACAAAACATACACAACTAAAAACTCGAGGAGAGGTGTGAAAGAGAGGATTATTTGGAAATAGAATGGAGAAAGGGATCTTATTACTGAGAGAGGAAGATGACATCCTGTTAATAAGAAAACATGCTGTTAAGATGACATCCCCCCAATGATGGACAGGAATATGAGCACCCAGCAAAAGAGTACGTGCAGTTTCAACCAAATGTCTATTTTTTCTTTCTGCTATACCATTTTGCTGTGGTGTATGAGGACAGGTGGGCTGATGCAATATTTCATGTGAACTCAAAACAACAGAAAAGGTGGATGAGAAGTGCTCTTTAGCATTGTCATTTCTTAAAATTTTGATTACTTGACTGAATTGATTCTTGATTTCATTCAAAAAGGATGTAAAGATGGGTAACAATTCAGAGCGATCTTTCATAAGATAAATCCAAGTACTTCGTGAATATTCATCAATGAATGTAACAAAATACCGAAAATCAAAAGATGAGATGCGACTGGGTCCCCAAATATCAGAATGGATAATAGAGAAACTGGAAGTACACTTTGATTGAGACTGTTTAGGAAAGGTAGATCTAACATGTTTCCCTAGTTGACATGACTCACATTCTAATATCTGGAGACCACTAAGTTCAGGATACATTCTTTTTAATTTTGACAAATGAGGATGGCCAAGCCGATCATGTAACATTTTAGGGCTCGGAGTAGCAACACAAGACACACGTGGACGGGGGCCAAAAAGGTATAATCCTCCAGCTTCATATCCTTCTCCAATCCTTCTCCAATCCGTCTCCCCGAACCACGCTCCTGTATAACAAAAGATTTGTTATCGAAGGTTATTGAATAATTTAAGGTTTTGGTTAACTGACTTAAGGAAATTAAATTGAAAGGACAATTAGAAATAAAAAGGATAGATTTTAGGCTTATGGAGGGAGATAAGGAAACTTGGCCCACTCTCTTTGAGGAAGCTTTAGAGCCATCTGCAAGGGTTATGAAATGTTTTTCTTGAAAGGAAATGGTTGAGAACAAGGAGGTATTACCAGATATATGATCAGAAGCACCAGAGTCAATTACCCATGAATTTTGGGAATTGAAGTTGTCCACTCCAAGAAAGGGATATTTATATCCCAGCAGAAATACATCATTGATTTGCTCAAGGAAACTGGCAAGGCAGCTTGCAAACCTGCTAGTACCCCATTAGAACCAAACCTAAAGCTTGGAAATGCAGAAGATGTTGCTATTGAAAAAGATATGTACCAGCGATTAGTGGGTAGACTTATATATTTGTCGCATACCAGGCTAGATATTGCCTATGCAGTGAGTTTAATTAGCCAATTTATGCATAACCTAAAGGAGACCCATTTAGAAGCAGCCCACAAAATTTTACAATACCTTAAAGGAACTCCAAGAAGAGGGATTCTATTCAAAATGAATGATAATGTGAAGCTCGAAGCCTATACTAATGCTGATTATGCAGGGTCAATTGTGGATATGAGGTCAACTACAGAATATTGCACCTTTCTTGAAGGAAATCTTGTGACTTGGAGAAGTAAAAAGTAGGGTGTAGTGGCTCGGTCTAGTGCTGAAGCGGAATTCCGAGCTATGGCACAAGGTATATATGTGAGTAGTTATGACTTAAAATCATCTTAGAAGACTTGAGGATAAAATGGGAAGAACCTATGAAGTTCTAGTGTGATAATAAATCAGCAATCAGCATAGCCCACAACCCAATGCAGCATGATAGAACAAAGCATATTGAAGTAGACAGACACTTCATCAAAGAAAAGCTTGATAGTGGCTTGATATGCACTCTGTATGTGTCCTCTTAAGATCAAATTGCAGACATTCTTACCAAGGGACTGGACTATCACAATTTTGAAAAGATTGTATTCAAACTGGGAATGAAAAACACCTATTCACCAAGCTTGAGGGGGAGTGTGAAAAATCAAATAGTATTTTAGGAAAGAATAAATTAGGAAATTTGTAATTTGGACAGATTTGAATAATTAAGAATAATCTCATAAATCAAAGAATTCTAGAATAAAATAAAGTTATTATATTTTCTATAATAAGTCTTTTATATATATATATATATATATTGTATGATCTTTTTATATTAAAATAATAAAATAAGATTTCATTTATTATATCTTTTATTAATATTCTAATCAATTACATAATAAATTACTTCTATGGAATTACTATCTTATTCTTTGATATCTATCATCAGAATGATCTTTGTAATTAACATGGAGTTACTTGTATATCTAATCTGTTTTGTTACGCATTTGTTTTAATGCCATTGGAATGGTTGATTGTAACTCTTGCTGTTCATGTTTTGAGGACTTGCTTGGTATGTGAAATCTGTTTGCCAATGCTTTGCTAAACATTGGACAATTTTTTTGTGAATAATTAATTTCTTATGTTTTATCATTATGTATCATTGTAAAAAAAAGAAAAAAAAAAAAAGTTTCATGGACACTCCCTTAATAATTGTGATGATAGGTGAGGAAGCTAGAAACTTCATTTGTAAGGTACTGGTCCAGAAGAGGGTTGAAGCCACTTGGCCAGAAACTGTTGCCAGATCCAAAGCCATGTGTCAAAGAGCCATATCCTTGACAAGACTATTCTCCAACACTGCCCTAACTTTTGACCATCAGAATACCATTGAGTAATGCATACACATTTTAAAACATTTTTCAGTTAGGTTTTACCAAATGGAAAATATATTCCCCGCCTTTCCTTTATCTGGTAAGTTATCCCTGGCTAAAGCGTAAACAACTTAATTTAAAAAATAATCGTTTTTACCAGTTTTTTCTTAAATAAAAATAGATTTTTTTTTTCAGAAACAATCATTTACAAACATGCTATTGTAATTTTAGTCCTAAAAATGTTATTAAATTATATAGTTTATTTAAATTTTATATATAGTGAAAGATAGGTTATTTCGATTTTACATTCAGGACCTTTTTCTGAATCTATTACTTTGTTTATATACCTTTTGAGTTTAAAACGGCAATGGTTTATTGGATATCCACCGTAAGTTTAATTATGACATTAAATTTAAATTCCATTAAGGGTGGTGAGTTAGGTTTGCTCGGTGGAGATTAGTCATTGACCTTAGGCAAAGTGTAGTCAGTGTATAATGGGTGATCTTTACCCTTTAAATTCATTATTTTTTAATGGTAATTAATGATATTAGATTTTAAAGATTAATGTTAATAAAAAATGTTTCTACATAATACATATATTTTTCATATAGTAATTATGACATATTTGTATTTAATATAATTAATATTTTTTTTGGTTTTCAAGTATTATTAATTGCTATATTAAACTTTTAATCATCATTATTAGATAAATAATTAATTTTATGTCATGTAATTCGTGCTATGTATGCTAAGTGTTGTACAGTAACATTTGTGAAAATAATTTATTCAATTATTGTCCGAAATTCTTTGGGAAAATCTGTGTGAACTGGAAAATCTGTGTGAACTGATCTTACATATATTTGATTAGACATGATCATCCATAAAATTAAATTTGGTTGTAATTGCAATTACACACATCAATAACGATCTACGTGACAAAGTACCTTAGCCGTGATGATTAAAAGTTTGATGAAGTAATCGTTACGATATGAAAATTAAATAAAATATTTTAATTATACTAAATACAAATATTTAACATTATTATTGTCTAAATTTTATATTTTTATAACTAATTAGACCTAATTGAGAAGTTAATCAAAATGTGTTGTATGCTATTGAAAAGATATATTGTAATTTTATTTCTGAAAAATATAATCAAGACTTTTTAAAGAATTTTAATGGAAGATAGAACATATTGTAATAATTTTATTTACGCTGATATTAGAAGATTATAATTAGATAAAAAATATAAAAAGGACATATTCTTGATAAAGATGACAACATATGATATAATTATAATAAATAACAATTCTTATAATCTTCTTCGTCAACTCATCAAGAAATCATTTGGTAGAAATGTAGAAGTTCATAGAAAACATTTTGTGTAACAAACAAATCACAAGAAGGGGTTGAATTGTGTTTTTGATATATTTTTTAAAATATTTTTTAAAGCATATTTTGGACAAATATCTAGAAGGTTCATGATTGATCTTCTCTTCTCTCATGGGTCGGCCATGCTTCTAAGTTAGGTCCAAGACTCTTTCCCTCCAAAAAAGGGTGGTGGACTTCAAAAGATAGATATCCTTAAGTAATCTATCAAAATAAGACTTAAACATGACTTTAGGAATTTAAATGGAAAGAAAAATACTAAGTAAATTAAGTGAGAAGGGTGGAGAGAAGACTTCCCTTCTAGTCATGCTTTTGATGATCCTCTTAGGGATTGCCTCTCCTTTCTTAAAAGGACTTAGGGACTCATCAAGTTGGTAATCTTTTTTTATATTAATGAAAATTAGTCGGTCAACCTTTCATTAGGTGGTCAATGTTTTTATTGAATGCTCTTTTAAGTATGAACTAGTCCACCTTGGATATGATGGTCAACGCTCTATTAGATGCATTATTGAGTATTTATGTAAGATATAAAAGCTGATATCAAGAGGGGGTGAATTGATCTTTCCAAAAATTTTGCAATTTACAGAGACAGATTACCAATTTGAAAGATTAAGAAATCTGACCAAGTATTAAACTAGGAAAAACAATTAGAATTGAATAAGGTTCAAACAGAATTAAAGAAAGTAATGAAAGAAGAAAAGAAACACCAAGAATTATACTGGTTCACCCAAACCACTAGACTACGTCCAGTTCTCAACTTAATTTCAGTTGAGTTCCACTAGATTGAAATTGTTTTGATTACAAAACAAAATTACAAAACACTCAACCTGCACTAAGAATCAAATTTTAGTTCTTGAACCCAACTTGCAAACAAGTTCCAGTTGTAGAACCAGTGCCCAAACTTTCAGACACCAAGACAGAAAATAATTGAAAAAGAAATGAAAGAATGAAGAAACTAGAACAATCAAACTCGATTATGCAGATGCATAAATTTCACTGCAGATTGAGTTTCTTCACAAGCAAGAATGCAAAAACGTCTTAAGAACTTTGAAAAATCCCACAAAAAATAGTGCACATCTCTTTTAGAAAGACTCTATTGATTACTTGAAAGATTTCTAAAAGGTGTGTTTTAAAATATTGAAGCAAATATGTTTATATGTAGGGATGGCAAAACGGACTAGGCCCGGCGGGCTGGCCCGCCAGCCCGCCATAATATGGCGGGGCGGGTTGGTGTTTTCAGCCCACCAGCCCGCTTTGGCCCGCCCCGCCAAGCCCGCCAACCCGTCGGGCCAACCCGCGGGACTGGGCGGGCCAGCCCGCGGCCCACCTAATTAATAAAAAAATAATTTTTTATTGTAATAAAATTAATTATAAAGATAATATATAAAGTTAAAAATTTTAAAAAGAGAATTAAAAAAGTTTCATTCTCACAGAAAATATTCTCCTTCCCGAAATATAACCTTCTCTCCTGTTCTCCTTATTTATCTTAAGTACTCGATTATATTTATCCTTATTACTTGAATTAAAGGTATAAGAATTACTCAACCAAGTATAATATGAAGTTTTATCAAATAAAAAAGATATAGGTATTTGAATTTTTCAATATAAAAAATATAAATTTTATAAGTTTAACGTTATTTATATATATATATATATATATATATATAGATTTGTTATTATTTATTATTATGTAAATTTTATTATTGTTCTAAATTATAATTTCTTAAAATGATATATTGATTTATATTATTAAATTGAAATAATATATATATATATATATATATATTGAATTATTGACAAAAAATAATAATCTTATTATTAAATTTATTAAAAAAATTATTTTTTTAAATTATGGCGGCCGACCCGCAGACCGCTAACCGCCCCTTGGCGGGGCGGCCAAGGTCTATAGCCCGTCATGACTATATCGGGCCAGCCCGCCCCGCCCCGCTTTTGGCGGGCCAAAGGCGGGGCGGGCCAAAACGGGGCGGGCTGACCCGTTTTGCCATCCCTATTTATATGGAGATTTTTCTAACAAACTGGTTGATTTAATCAGTTATTTCACCTTTTAATTGATTAAAATAACTTGCCTTTAACAATTTTAATTGATGAAAAGATCATTTAATCGATTAAAATGTTCAACCATATTTTCCAGAAATATTTTAACTGATAAAAATGTGGTTTAATTGATTAAAACAATTAACTAAAAAAACCTTAAGTGATTTTAATCGATTAATTCGAAGTTTAATCGATTAATAAACTGACAGGACATTTTCTAAAGCTTCTTAAGTGTTTTTAACTAATAAAAACTTGGTTTAATCGATTAAAACATTCAAACAAAAATTCTTTAAGTGATTTTAATCGATTATTTCAAACTTACATCGATTAAAATACTGACAGAACATTTTCTAAAGCTTTCTTAAGTATTTTTAATCGATTAATTCGAAGATGTGTCAATTAAAATACTGGTAGAAGGTTTTCCAAAACTTATTTATTGAAAATAATCGATTAATTAGAATATGTATCGATTAAAATAGTGATAGTACATGCTTTAAGTGGTTTTAATTGATTATTTCAAAAATACATCAGTTTAAAATGTGTCAGAAGCTTATTTTAATTGATTAAACTGTAAATATATCAGTTAAATTCGAGACTTAAGAACATATTAACCGATTAAAAGGATTTTTAACAGATTAAAAAGATTAGAGGCATTTTTATCTCTTTCAAATGATAGAACCTCATGCAGTAGAAATGAATAGATGATTATACCTATTTAATATTGATGCAGATTCACTAAACACTACACCCCATATCCCATAAATCCTCTGACTTCATCAAATATTCATTTATTTCAAAATCCTTTTGAAAGAAATGAGGGGGAGATTGATGACAATGTGAAACATGTCTCTACATTCCCAAGAGATGATTTTGATGATGATTCAAGTCAACAACATTCAAGACTCAAGCAAGCCCAAGATATAATTTTTATAAAGATTTTATTCATCATTCAAGCAAGTCCAAGATGATTCCTGAAGACTAGATAATGTCTTAGAATACTGGATATGAAGGTACAAGTTGATGAAGTAATATTATGCATAAGCCTCCAAAGCACAAGTGTGATAAAATTCATAACATGATATTTTTCACTGTCATAATCAATTATGATGCATCAGAAATGGAAAAATGATTTTCTCTATCATAATTGATTATACTAGTAACATAATCAATTGTGGCAATTCAAATTTGAAAAATATATCTGTTTTGAAGAATAAATGTTTTTGAATATATCCTGATTTTTATTCACGAAAATATTAATGTCCAATGACATTTTCTGATGCTATTTTTCTATTTAATTAAGTTTTGATGAAAAATAAAAAACACACAATTACAGAATTCGAAAATACAATTTACATTCAATCAGTTTTGAGAAAAGAATTTTGAGCAAGGCAACAAAGATATTTTTCACCTTCTGAGAAAACCCTCTTCTCTACTGCCTTCTGTGCTTTCATTGTTAATCACACTTGTTCTTGGAGATTGACATTCTACAGGCTTCTACAATTTGTTGCCTCCATTACCCAGGTG